TTACTTCAGCAAACTGTTTAAAACCGCATGAGAGGATTCACTCTGGAGAAAAACCTTATAAGTGTTCACATTGTGACAAGAGATTCAGTCGGTCAATACATCTGAAAACACAAGAGGATCCACACTGGAGAGAAACTGTACACATGCGATCAGTGCGGGAAGAGTTTCACACTAAAAGGAAACCTTACAGCGCATATGAGAGTTCATTCATATGGGAGAGAAGCTGTTCACTTGTGATCAGTGTGGAAAAAGTTTTACACAATCAGCAAAACTTAAGAATCACATGAACATCCACACTGGAGAGAAACTGTACATATGTGATCAGTGTGGCAAAACGTTTTTGAGAGCTTCAACCCTGAAGAAGCACCTGGATGTTCATATAAAAGAGAAGCCACATTCAAGTCATTTGTGTGGAAAGAGTTTTTCATGTCTACAAAATTTGAAAGTACGTCAGAAAATACATACTGCTGTGAGGGATCATATGTGCTTTGAGTGTGAAAAGACTTACTTCAGCAAAGTGTTTAAAACAGCACCAGATGATTCACACTGGAGAAACACCTTATAATTGTTCACACTGTGACACAGGGGTGGCGCCAGAGAATTTAACGCAGATGCTGAGGGGGTGCTAGATCATTGACGGGGAGCTGGGTAATTAGTAGTAAATATCATAAAAATATGTTGTTATTAATAATAAAATAGCCTAAATCGTCCACTCGGTTTTGTAACATTTTATTACCTGATTATTTGGCTCATCACAATTTGATTAAAATGTTTTGTTTTATGAAATTAAACAAGCAGCCTTTAGATCAGTCAGTTCCCAAAGATTTTTATACAGTCCACCTAAAATTCACTGAACAAGCATTTCGGAATGCGAGTCAAAGGCAAAAGGCAATATGACATCAAAAAGCACTGGGGATATTGTTATTGTTTATTTATTTGATAGGGACAATGCATGTTAATGAACATTTGTAGTAATACAGAATGTAAACAAGCCGGATTATAGCAACATTGCTAATTTACATCCGCAGTCCCTAGGCAGGTACACACAAGGACACAGACTCAAATACACATACAACAGCACATAAAAGACATTTTAAAATTTCTAAGTAAAATGTTTACACAACTGATTCGTCATAAGCCAGTTTTTGAAATGATCTTTAAAGGTATGATAAGTAGAACATTGTCTTATTGACTGCGGTAAGCTATTCCAATATTTACTCCCTATTACAGATAATACTTTCTGTCCAAAAGATGTTCGCCTATATGGCACCTCACAGTCCCCTCTAATAATAGACCTAGTACCAATACTACAATCTGTCCTCGGTTTTATAAATTAATTTAAAGGAGGGGGAGCAAGCCCATTCAAGACCTTATAAATAAAACATGCATATTTAAATTTTCAAAACTCAATAGATTGTTTTTTTAGAATATTACAGTAATGAAATTACAGGTTGTTTTTTTTATCTAACACTATTTTATCTCGCCTTCTTATACAATGATTCTATTGTCTTTAGAGTTGTGCCACTCAGAAATGACCAACTATTAAAACAATACTCAATATGAGGAAAAATCATTGAATATAAACACAACCTAGCAGCACAGACTGTCAAAAATGTCCTAATATACTTAAACTTCTTTAAATTAAACTTTACAATATTAGACACTTTTTTCACATGACTTTTAAATGTCAAAGCAGATCCAAAGTCACCCCAAGGTATGTAATCTCTTTAACAATTTCAAGTTCCTCCACTCTCAAGAATACCTTAGAATGTATGATCTGTACTGGTTGTTTTGCAAACATCATACACACAGTTTTTTTTTTTTGTGTGT